TTTTTGTGAGACGGTTAAATCTGCTCAGGATCTACCTTTCAAAACTTTTGCTTAACGTAGAGAGGAGGCTTATTGTTACATTATATTTCTGGGTGTTTGGGATTTTTGCTGGATTTAAGTATGGGTAGAATATTTAACCTTTTCCATTTTGTACGGAAGTAGTTAAGCCGTAGTGCTGTGATAAATTGCTGTTAAAGCCGCTATTACATTTTTGCTTAATATTTTGAAGCAGACGTTGGTAATTCCATCAATTCCGAGATTTGTTTGATTTTCAATCGTTTTATAAAAGCTGCTGTTTGTGATATAGATATAACTGTTGGTACAGTGAGTATCTCTTGATTTAAGACGTTCTCTTTTCGGTTGAAGACGTTGTTTATAATTGGGTGAGGTTTATCTTTATGCCTATGTAATTATTAATATATCAGAAAGTTGGTCGGAATTTTTTCTTTCATTGAATGTTTATGATTAGTTATCCGCGTATGATGTTACATTAATTAAATAATTAATTAATACATATGTTTTTAAAAAAAACTAATTTTTTTACTTTTCCTTACGTTCAACTCTTTTATTTTCAATTACTTTCTAACTAATAATGACGGGTACTTGTGTAATTGATTTAACATATTTTTAACTTGTCATCTATTTTTCTTTCGATGCTAAACAATTCGTGTAGAGTATTTTTGGACATAGTTCTATTATCTATTACACAACGGGAGGATGTAAGAATTGTTATGTATATAATATTACGATTATTTTTATTCCTTTCATAAGTTTATTTACAGAATCAATTGGTAGGAATCGAAAAGTCAAATAATCCTTTCATTTTATGTGGTATACGTTCACTGCTCTCTTTAAGAATAGCGAATATCATTCAAGAACTTTCATCGGCGTCCTCAGAAACAGGAACACATACCGGGAAGGGAGCTTTTCAGGGAGGTTTTGAAATCTGAGTATACGTAAGGGCTGCATTGCCACGGTCAGATACTATTGTATTACTGTATACGAGGATGCGCCCGACTGCAACTCGATTACTGAGCATTCGACACAAGATGATCGTCTCTGATTGTTTGTTGAGCCTTCGAACGTGATGGCGCCGCTTGTATGGCGTCGCGCCGCGAGGTTTTCGCATCGCGATACGAAAATGAGTTTAGATCATAACGACGCGCCGTAACGGTCTAAACTCATTTTTGTATCGCGATGTTAAAAGTGTGACTGACTGTATATGATTTTGTGTTCATATTTTTGGTCAGTATATATGGAAGAACGTTAATTTTGTAATTTTAAAAAAGATATACATTTACCTAATCGTTACACTTATCACAAACATATTAAATTTTGCGCTATTTTTCTTTTCTTCTGTTTCTTTCAAATTGCCACCTGGTGAACATGATATGTTACAAACCGTACCGCGTTTATCATTTTATGATTCCGAACTGCACAACAGGAACTACAGACCCGAAAAGCAAAGAATGTGCGTACTCAAGTACCCTTGGTCGACAGGACGCCGGGACTCCGACAACGAATTGCTCCAAGTGCTCGTTCCTGCACATCAAGCCTGTGCAAGGCACCAGCACGCGCGAGCGCTTGCAGATGCTGCAGACGGATTATGGGCTCAAGGCAGAGACGCCCATCGAGGCCTCCTTTTACTTCGACATCATGCTACAGGGCATATTGGCCGCCAAGTAAGAGTGAATTTTTGGAGTGGTTTCATACTTTTGAAATGGTTTCTTATACTTGTTTCACCTGTGCGAAACAGTTTTTGTTAATCTAACTAATAGCTTTCGAAACTTTACGAAGCGTGCGACAAATATTTCGCACACGCTACGTTAAAAATAGTACACGTGCGCAAGGTGATTCGCGCACTTGTTCCGTGATTTATTTTTCTATTTGTACACGCGCCTCTTAAATGTCTTTAAAATGCTTTTTTATCATTCGGGAATACACATTTATGATCTAAGCTATTGTATTTATTCCTTTAACATACAACTAAATTAATCATGAGGGACGAAAAGTGGAATATATGAAACGTGTCCAAGAGCTCAAAATGATTCAAAATAGGTTCCAATAGGTCTCATTTTGTAGAATTAAGCTTAAGAAAAATGTAACTCGGGCTTCACCTGCCCCCTCCATGTTCCCTCATGCCCCCAAATGTACTTCGCATGTTCGTTCACGCGCACTCATGATGTACGCATGTTACCCTGTTCCTCATAGGTTTCTCTCATATTTTCAGTATGTTTCCGTGTGTGTTCCTCGATATTCTCGTGTGTTACCGTACATGCTCCTCGTATGTTCCTAAATTTTCTTGCGTTACCATACATGCTCCTCGTATTTTCCTAGATCTTTTCGTGTGTTAGCGTACGTGCTTCTCGTTCATTCCCTCGAATGTTCCCCAAATATTTATTACACATTCTTTGCCAGATTTTTGTGTCAAAAATATTCCATTATAAATCTTACTTACAGTGCGCTGAAAAGTAAATACGAGGGCTGGGATTATACTGCTTGCAACGATTACGAAGAACATATGAACATTGTTCGGGATTTGAATCTGAGAACTGAATTTATAAAAGCGGTAAGTCCATTAACTATTTTAATTACATTTGAACGCTTCATGGAATTAATGTTTTCAAATACAGTATATTCTTGTTGGGATGTGCTTCATATAGATTATTTTAGTTAGCATTCATGATGGCACTATAACTGGTTAACCAACTATTTGTCTGTGGAGTTTGTTTTCGTTTCGTTGTATAATTTTGTTTGCAGGGACAAGCAGAGGGTTCATCGTATGCTGCTTTCACAGTCGGAGGGAATGGTAGAGAGTATCAGGATTTTAGCACCAGTATTCAGAAGATAGATGTTTTAAATGGTGCAATGAAAGGCAATGCAGTAGAGGTCGGCACTTGGCGTGCAGGCTACGATACCAAATTGGTACCAAAGAACGAGACAATACTTAGAAATATGTCCGCTGTCACGGTATACACCATAGTCACCTTAGAGGTACGTATAGTGATAGTACAGAAGAAGGCCAGGATTGAACCCATGTAAGTTTTGGTGGAGGTCTTCTTGCGAGGTCGCCAGGTGACAACTGGCGACACTACATCGTGAACTAGTAGGACTACAACAGCACTTACTTTTTCTATAACGCTTAGGTAATATAAAGCTACTTGATCTCGCGCACGTGTTACCAACCCGCAAAATAGTTACCACACTGAAATTCGAATTCTGACAAGTATGTTTAGTAAGCTGATAGCATGACACAACCCTACAATCACTTAAGACGGTGCATTAAAAAGAAAGATGAACTTGCAATTTTCAAAATCAGAGATATTAATGTCAGAGATATTAATGAAAAAGGGACCAACTTAGGTTTCTGCTGCCTCTCATAAGATATCATTTTTCTACCTGTTTATAATTCTTTATTAAAATCAATGACTGCTCGCCAGACGAAGAAGTCATTATACATGTGTTTAAGCCTGTTTAACATAACTTTCTTCTTTTCATGAACTTACTTTTTTATTTGAGCAAAACGGAGTAATCAATTTCTTGCTTTTGAAGTGCGTGCTTTCGTTTAGGTTAATTTTTCATTTCTACATCGAGCCTTCAAACTGGTTAGCTTGAAGTCACGACATGCCGGAAACACATTTCCTTGTTTTATGTGTATTTACACACTTCTTAAAAACTAATATTATTCCTATTATTATTTTTGTATCAGCTAGACAAATTAAGGGCAAAAATAAATACAAGTGTCCAATTATGTAATATTTAATCAAATTATGCTGCTACGACAAACATATTAGTTCTTGATAAAAACATTCTATGCCACCTCAGTTTCCTCAGTAAATTGTGCAACACTTTTGAACAGTTGTAAAGGAAATAAATCATTTAAATCTAATGAATATTGTCTATTAAAAGTGAATAGTGGAATCATGAGGAAGAACAAGTATTTCTTTATGTTTCATGAAAATATATAGAAGTGTAGCTAGTCTTAGTAGTGAATAAGGTTATCTAAGAGCTAATAACATTTCTGATAGGAGGTAATAACAAATTTCCGTCTTTACTTCCTAGGTCTACTGGAAAAGTAGAAAAAAAACATGACTCAGGGTTCCTTTCTTTATTATTCCAGCATTTAATTGCAGAACAGTGGGCCCCTCTCAACACACGCATTGCTATTAATGGGTAAACTGGAAAAGAATAAGAATTCAGTGCCGATCCGGTGGCCGAGACCCTTGAGGTAGTAGTGCCCTAGCGACCTCGGACCGAAGGATCGCGGATTCCAGCCTCGCCTTGGGCATGGTTGTATTTGCGTTCGTTCTTTCACACATATCATATCGTGTCATCCTCACAGTTACCATCCCGTTACAATCAATAGTGGTCGCTAATGACCTAGAAGTTGATGCGACCAAAAATAAATAAATTAAAAAAGAATTCAGTTGGTGTTTATCAAATGTATTCTGATACATGTCAAATATAACGTTAAAACTAGTTAGGTTAGTAAAAATGTAAGGTTTGTTCTAAGTAGTTTTACGTGTTATTTAATGACTTGCCCTTGTAATCCTAGGGATATAAAACCACGAGATTAAGAAACAACACGAATTATTTTTTAAGATTTTCACTAGGTTTTAATAAACGCAATTTCACAAAGAAATACGCATATTTCAGTAGCAGCTATCCGTAGTTTTACTTGAAGTTCACCAGAATCGCTAGCTGTATGCGCGCACATCCATAACTAGCCGAAAAGCGGACTGAGCTGCGCTACAGTATTGATATGATACTGTGGTAGCATTACCTAAATTTTTATAAAGGTGGCATTGGGCATAGGGCGGGGCATAGAATCTTGTGTAAACTTCTCAGCTTTTTTTGTACGAAAATAAACTTCGTAAACGTCTACTATCGCCACAATGGGCATGCGCGTATCCCGACGTTATTTGTTTTAGTATATCATCCCTGTGATGACAATAACTATTAATTTGCTCATCTCAACTAAAAATCGCTGATTTATTTTCCTTTTGCACATCTGCATCGCAAAACTTTTCAAACAACCCCTGAACTCTGAAAATTGGTTTAGAGCTCGCAAAAGATCCTTAAGATTAACGTATTATGTACTTAAAATATTGAATTATTTCATTGCTAACTCTTAAAAATCATATGAATTATCATTCCAGTATTACTCGCGCAACTTTTCTTGAACGATGACCTTGATCCCCCTCCCTTGTGCAAAAAAAAGTTGAAGGCAAAAGCTCACAGCGGGCACTGATGACAACCTTCCAAGCATTAAAACGTCGTTGACGCGAAACAGAAGCTAGTCAAAGCCAGTTGCTTTCATAGTGCAGAACCCCTGTTCAGGTTTATTGTCAATATCGAAAGAAATGGCTGAGTCAGGTCCAGGTCCTTCAAGGGAGTCACCTAAAACTCCCGAAAAAGTTAAGCACAAGATGCAATTTTGACTTTCATTTCACACACGTTGGCATTACTTAAAATACTCTAGTGGCCGACTTTGTAACTATTACCCCCACTCCACCCGAAATCGTCAATCCATCGTTCAAGAAAAGTTGCCCGAGTATTAATTCTATGTACCTTTTTTCACATTTTTTCGCAGCAAAAGCCATTCATCTACAGAGATGGAATGTATCAAGATAAGGACGGAAAATGGAAAGAGAAATTTAAAGGCTACTGTATTGACTTGATCGAAGAGATAAAAAACATCACTACATTTGAATACGACATCTATCATGTTCCTGACGGTGAAGCTGGTAATATGGATGAAAATGGCAAATGGAACGGCATGATCAAAGAATTGATAGAAAAAGTATGATATAGAATTTTCTTTTATAATTTTATCTGATAGTGAATAAAGGTCGAATATTAACTTAATATAATTAATATTTAAAGTGTAATGTTGACAAATTATTCAGTACAGCCGTCCAGGTGGGCTGGGTAATTGTTGATCAATTTGAGTATAACTGTAGTCATCTACCCCTAACCCCAAACATAATCTTTCAATGACATTAAATTTTTAGGAATACAAAGCATTCTCAGTATTATAAAAGTCCATCTTTATCTTCCAATATTCGCTTTACAATAAATTTACATACAAATATTAAAGACATCACGCATAATGAACAAATATTGTCAAAAAAATCCGTTCTCCTTTTAAAGTCTTAGATGTTTATGCAAGAATAAATTACCAATTATATAAAATTCAAGGAGTGACCACAGATTTTAATTAGTGGCTGGTTAAAAGCTAAATACTTACATACTAAAATATTCTTTCTACAGAGAGCAGATATAGCGCTTGGTGCCTTATCCGTCATGGCTGAACGCGAGAATGTTATAGATTTTACTGTCCCATACTACGATCTAGTGGGAATTACTATTCTAATGAAAAAGCCCAAGACCCCAACGTCACTCTTTAAGTTTCTCACGGTGTTGGAAAATGAAGTGTGGCTGTGCATCCTGGCTGCGTATTTCTTCACCAGGTGAGTGCTCTTCCTGAATGCATTCCTGAAATCAAACAGAATATTAAAAAAACAACTACGTGAGAACGAAGCATTAAATAAATGAAATTACAATTAGTGTGTGTGTGTGTGTGTGTGTGTGTGTGTGTTTGGAGTCAAGTCTGAAATTGAAGTTCCAAAAACCGATAAGTTTTCAGATTAGAATTCCGCGAGGGGACTAATTTTTCGATTCCGGATGAATTCATGATTAAAGAATAATTCACTGTCTGGATTACAATCAAGAAGAGACCTTCTGTAAATTCAGGTTACATGTTTCATTTCATACTCTTTCTACCGACTCCTGAAGGTGGGAATTATTCATATGATGATTGTGATTTATGTCGATAATGAGTAATCTATATGCATATAATTCATTTGACTGATCATCTATTGTATAAAACCCTGAAGTATAGAAAGTAGAAGTAAATTGAATTGCCGAAACGCCCCTTGACGTTCTAGTAAGTTTTTCATTGACCAATCTCCCCTCATCATATAATTAATTAATTAATTTGGACATGAAATTGAGTATGTATTATATACACAAGTTGCCTTTACATCGAAACCAATCAAATTAAATAGTTTGAAAATAAGATTTTATGTGGGTTTTCATTGAGTTTTACTCACTCGTGAGATTTTGAATTTTATCTCTTCCTTTTTCGTTTTTTTTTTAGTTTACTTTCGTTCATTCACATTCTAGACATTAGGTTCGTATCACTAATATAATTAGAAGAATGAAGTCAAATAATTATGCAGTAAAACTGTTTTCTATGTATGAAATGTTCATTGTTCAGCATCTGTGGTAATGTAGTAAAGTGGTTTGTTCTTATTTATTAGCTTCCTCATGTGGATATTTGACCGCTGGAGTCCTTACAGTTATCAAAATAATAGAGAAAAGTACAAGGACGACGAAGAGAAAAGAGAATTCAATTTGAAAGAATGTCTGTGGTTTTGTATGACGTCCCTTACGCCTCAGGTAAGATTTTCTCTAAAATAGTTTTCTTCCTATGTAGGTAAACCATTGAAAAATATTTGGTTATTCTAAAATTAAAATATGTTTTGTATTTAAAATTAATTATCATAGCGTCCATTCTTATCCGTGCACGGGAAAGGGAGGGTTGTGAGGATTATGAATCCTGAGAATCGTGCTTAAATAATGTAATAATATATAATAATAATAATATAAAAATAATAATGATATAATAATAATACAAAATATACTGCAATTTATACGCATTAAATAAAAGTATTAGTAAAAACGACGCGCGGGGTGCGTTCCGGGACCTATTTTTTTGTTTAATAGATAATTATTACATATACAAATTAAATAACTTGACACTATCTGCCTAGGCTGAAGGTCTTTAAGCCATTACAATAACTACGTCCTACCTCGTTTTTCGAATTCTGGGATTTATCCCAAATGGTCTCTCCATCGCATCAAATCCGTGGAAAAGATAACATAAGGTACGGCTGAGGGGAAAAAAACTCTGTAGGGGGAAAACCTGCCATCAGAAGCCGAGTACAGGCTAATCTACCAGACTTTTAAAACCATTTGTTTATTTCCTGGCGCGACGTCACGCCTTCTCCTTCCAATGTTTGGCCTCCTCAGCAGCCGAAATCAAACAGCGCCACAGAAGATCGTCCGCACCATCGCCCCTGCACTTACATTTTCGGTACCAACTCCCCTTTCCTCCTAAAGCAATTCTTTAATTATTTGACCGATTTATTTTATTATTATTATTATTAATATTTTTATTGATTTACTTATTACTTAACAGTTGACTAAGACTTATGACTTGTTTACTTAATCGTTCACTAACTGAACTTAAATGACCGATTAACTCATTCATTGTTTGCTTATTAACTTATTTATTTTTTTTCTCCAGTCTAGGCTTCTCACATACTAACCATTGCTGTTTCCCTACTCCCTAATTTCCATTTCCCTAATGGTCCGGACCTTTCCTAGAAATGTTCCTAATTCTTTCATGTAGCGGGACCTTTTATCACCTGTGTTTTGGGCGAGCGTTACGTTTCTATGTTGGAAGAAGATATTCATATATATATATATATATATATATATATATATATATATATATATATATATGTAATCTATTAAATATAATCTTGAACCTGGAGTTTTCGATAACGTCTGACACCATCTTAAAAACCAGAAATAAATTTAGTGAATTAGAGATTAAGTACGTAAATGACATAATTCATGACAGAGGAAAAGGAATTCCGAGTGAATTTCAAACAAAAAGGCAAACAGACGTGTAATCGTCGATATTTTTTTTCTTTTAAAACGAATAGTATTAATAATTTATTTTGCAATAAGGATAAAATCGGACGTCATGCTAATTAGCTTAGACAGCGATCCTTCGTTGAATACAGAAATACAAACATTTGAATACATTTCTTTACTTAACAAAAGAAATGTATCCATTAAGCAATATCCAAGTTTATATAAATGCGATATTTGTAGTGATTTTGGTCCATGTATTCAGAAAATGTAGTTACCGTGCGATTACTTACGATACAAAACGGAACGCGTCTTATGAAAAGTATAAAAAACACGTTAAGCTACTGGATATAGTCCGTTACTGACAAATTTCCCTTCATATGATGATAATTTCGAAATATTATTACAAAACAAGACAGTGACCCCATTCCCAAATTAAATGTCTAGATCCGCTCCTTTACTCTCCTTCCGGCGAACTGTTATTCCCCTTTGTAATTCTCCAGGGAGGCGGCGAAGCGCCCAAAAACCTCTCCGGGCGTCTGGTAGCGGCCACCTGGTGGTTGTTTGGCTTCATCATCATTGCCTCCTACACTGCCAACTTGGCCGCCTTCTTGACCGTTTCTCGACTCGACACGCCCGTTGAATCTCTGGATGACCTTTCCAAACAGTACAAAATCCAGTACGCTCCGATCATGGGATCTTCGGCATACACCTACTTCCAGCGTATGGCTGACATTGAGAATCGTTTTTATGAGTAAGTAATACCTCAGAGTACAGTAAAACTTCGGGAATGTCTAAAGAAAAATATTGCAAAAGTTTTAACATTCTGTTTGCAGCTGTCTTTTGCAACACATTCAATTCAAGTTTTCTCATTTATGACAATGCTATATTCCTTATACTTCTAATTTTATTGTTTTTCACGAGTATTTAGATTTATTCAGTCAAAAAACAGTAACCGTAACAGATATTACTAATTTACAATCTTATGAATTTATTGTTTAATTCGAAACATACACATTTAAATTGAATTAAAAATTAATATATTACTTTTCTAATTCATTTTGTGAACAGAATTTGGAAGGACATGAGCTTAAATGACTCCCTAACTGACGTTGAGCGTTCGAAACTTGCTGTGTGGGATTACCCGGTTAGTGACAAGTATACTAAAATTTTACAAGCGATGACAGAAGCGAAATTCCCGAAAAATATGACAGAAGCTTTAGAACGAGTGAGAGAATCGAAAACATCCAGCGAAGGATTTGCTTTTATCGGTGAGTACATGCTTGTGATTTGTCATGAAAACAGCAGTTTGCTCGGAATCACAGTTTCAATAGCATTCGATTTTAAAACTTAATAAAATAGTTCGACGATCAAATGTTTCTAAAGTAAATAATGAAAAAACACTTAACATTATATAAAATAAATGGAAATAATAATAATTTGTGTTAATGTAAAGACTCATCAAAGCTCTCTTTCGTTGTTTTTTTCTTAGAAATGCACACTTCTGTATCGAGGTTTAAATAGTCCATTTCATCGTATTAAAAGCCTTATAAAGTTACTACACAGTTGCATCAATATTAATAATCAATTATTAATCTATTATATATTCATATTGAGTTTGCTTTTGATAAAATGTTACGGTATTCAGGTGATGCTACCGACATAAAGTATCTGCAACTGACCAATTGTGATTTACAAGTAGTAGGAGAAGAATTCTCACGCAAACCTTACGCTCTGGCAGTACAACAGGGATCTCCTTTAAAGGACCAATTTAATAATGCGTAAGTAAAATTAATCTTTCAGTTCTATTACTCCTATTCTCATAATATTTTACGGTGTTTCTTTCTTTCCTTCTGGACAGTTAAGAATTGGAGCAAATTGTAAAATTGCTGTTTGCTTTGATTCTGAACATTAATTGTCGCTACTTTTCCTCTATTCAATTGTCACATATAATTTTTACTGTTTTGTGTAAATAAAAATTAATATATTAATGAACTTTTACAAGTAGAGATCTTGCACAGATATTTTTAAACAAAATAAAATGTCCTAAAACGTTTGTATAAAACATTTTTCGAAACCAATTACCAAGCAAGCAATAGAATTTCGAAAAAACGCTATTTTTTCATTTTATTGTTTTATATAAAATCACATAAAATTGTTTTAGACAATTTTATCCTCTTTAAAATTGATTTGAATTATTATTCTACAGGAGTTAAGGTTAAAGAACTTCAGAGAAAAAAACGAAATAAGTTAGAAAAAATACGGGTTTTTTCAGGCCTCGGAGTTAGCACAGGACTTGAGAAGTCGAAAATGTAGGGTTTTAACTAGTGATTGGGTGGATAAAACATGCTAAAAAACGTTTTATGATCTTTTTCTTAGTAACTCCCCTTTTTAGTACCTACTGACTGGATTACTGTTGCTGCAATACGAAAGCTTAAACTCATAAATGTCAAGCGGGTGCCGTAGTAAAATAATTGACAGGTGGCAGCAATTCTCTATGCCCAACAAAATATATATATTATCTTGTTTCGTTACATGCTGTTTTAAGCTATTTTAGCAAGGGACCATCCCACTGACGAAATGAAATAATTTACACTTCAAAGCGTGTGAGGAAGTACTAGCATCCCTCTGCCCCGCTGCTCAAATCACTCCACGTTTTTGGACTCATCTATGTCTTATAGGGAATTGCAGACGAAAATGCAAGCCGACAACTACGACAGAGTGAATTATCTCAGAAGCCACTCAAGCTCGGGTACTCAAACGCATTGCCTAGCTAACTTCCAAACGAGCTACCCCCAGCTCATTTAAAAGCTGGTGGTAGGCAAAATTACAGAGATGAAATTTTTACAATGATCATTAAAAATGGTAACTATTGTTTGTTTTCTTCCTCAAAAAGGCTATTTTTCTCTTTCCTGTTCTAGTATCTTGCAGCTTCTGAACAAGAGGAAACTGGAAAAACTTAAAGAACGTTGGTGGAATCAAAACCCAGAGAAAGCCCAAGATTGTGAGAAACAAGATGATCAATCAGATGGTATCAGCATCCAAAACATTGGTAAGAACAAATATTTCTTTTCTCGGGGCAATTAACTTTTCTTCGGTTTTAGATATTGCTAAACCAGTTGCTGAAAAATGTTATCTGAAGCCACTGAGGGAATGTTTTACGAAGAAACTTAATTCGTCAAATATTAATCATAGTGCTCTTGATTACTCTAATACGTAAATAAAACTTAATCTAGAATGTAACAATGAAAATGCTTTGTATTATCTGTACATGGATAAAGAGATTAATTTAAGTACTGATATTAAATGTAGATTTGAACATGCATTAAATACCTAGGTGGTGATTTTGACCTAACAAAAATAACGACAGACTTGATAGTTCTAAGTTATATATCAAATATTGCTTTGTGAATACTTGTTGACACTGCGGAAATTTCCTATACATCTTAAAAATTGCATAGGAATGATGGAATTGTAAAACCCAGTAGGTAATTTTTTATAGTATTTTACATGCATTATTCGTATTGATTAAACGTATAGAATATGAATAGACAAAAAATAAAAAAATAAAAAAAATAAAAAAACAAACAAACAAACAAACAGGGAAAATACCAGTTCTTAGTTTTAGGTCGACCTCTAAAAGAAATTTTATCCTTTTTTAATAAGGTTGGCTTTTGACACAAGTTAATTTGAAAATCAAATTATTCCTATTGTGGTTATGTTTAATGTTATTTTGTTTATAATTAATATAATGTTATTTTGGTTTTAATGTTAATGTTTTATATTATTTAAATGTTCAATACATTAAAATTTGTTCAACACATGCCTTGTCTGAAATAACATAAATTATTTCGTTATGGGAACTACTTGTGAAGAAAGAATCATATCTTTACTTAAATTTAATGATTTATTATCGCATCAACATTGGAAATGAAATGGTCAGTGGCATATAAAATGACATCTTTCCAGGTGGTGTCTTCATTGTTATCTTCGTGGGCATTGGCCTTGCCCTCATCACATTAGCATTTGAATACTTCTGGTATAAGGTGAAGAAAAATCCGAGAGTGATTGACGTGGGGCCAGCTGGTCAGGCCCCTACAGTTCCATCGAAAATGGACGCAGGTCTCACAATGCGCGGATTCCGACCTCGCCTTCCATTTGGTGGGGAACAGAACTTCAACAGGTGATTTCTTCGTAGCCAATAAAATAATTGCTACTTTCTCCATTTTCTTTTTGTGTAATACATCCACAAGAGATTCTGCCAGAAGAGTACTCTACTCAACTCATATCACCAATAACTTCATCTCGATCGGAGGTTTCATAATTTCTTGATGAATTGAGCAAATATTGAAATTTTCCCTATCTTTGGTTTTGGACACTAAATGTAGCTTTTATTCATCTTACTCATAGTTGTTATTGTTCCTGCTGTTAAATAACAATGTGAAATACTTCCCTTCCTTCCTCCATGGTTTCCTAAAAACCGATGTTGCTACAATATAATAAAAAGACAACTGTATCGTTGTTAAGGCTTCAAAATAGTCGTTACAATTTGTTGGGAGAGCAATGAGAAGAAACTGAGAATATCCACTGGCGATCGTAACAGCATCCAGTGATTTCGGTTTTCAAATTCTGGATCTCCCCAATCATGTTGTCAGCGCATGCAAGCGTTAGAATCTGTTTGCCAACACTAACTTGACACTGTCTTGGCGTTTCCCATGTTTTTGTCAAATTTCCGGGTGTTTCACGTCAGCTGGTGACTCCACGTTTAAGGTGCATGTGTGCCTGTATGCATTCACGGAGAATACATTATGTGGCCGGCTAAGATTATCAATAACGCACAGATCTTTAAATGGCGACTAATAGCTCTTGACAACGTTTCAACAACGCAAGTGAAGGCGTCTTCTCGTGAATGTTTACGTTAATTCCAAAGTCTCCCAGACAGTGCTGGTAGGAGGCGCTTGCCCAGACAGCGCAGGTAGAGAGGCTGGCCTCACCTGCCACATCCGCCCCTCCCGCCATACCTGACACACCCACCACACCCTCTCAATCTGGCACATCCGCCTTTCCTGCCACACACGCCACATCCGCCATAACCGCCACACCCACCATACTCGATACACCAGCCACATCCACCACACGGGCCGCATCTCCCACACACCCCATGCCCCACACTCACACACGCCAAAGTAATGTATTAATTAGTTATTACCATAAATTCAATTAATTTTATTTTTTCTCTTCAGTTTTGAAAAACCTTCCCCTCTTCATTTTCTGAAGTCGCTCTTGATGCACAGTTAGCTGGATATTCTCGAAGATACTTGACGGGGGCAAAGCAAAAATATATGTACTCGTATTTTATGCAATACCGGATTTTGTAATACTCGTGCGCAGAGTAAAGTTTAACAAATGTCGACAATTACTTTAATCATATAGTTTTGGAAAACGATGTGTTGTATTACAATCATAATTTGAATCGATGCAATGGTGTGTTCTTATGGTTCTGACATGCAAAATTTTACCTAGATAGCATTTTTTTAAACCAACTCTTGATTGCACATTGCAGCTCAACCGTTGGGAATATCCAAGTAGTTTATTAGACAAAAAAACTTAAAATTGTCTTAAGAGCTTATTTGCTAAGTTTCGATGTTTCCTCCCTGGACACCTCTGGTTTTAGAATGTCAATGGCACTTATTTTATTGCGGCACTTGCAGAATTCTACCATATTCCTCCTTCCTTCTAGTTCTGTCAGTGAATACTCCCTTCTAGAAGTAATCTTTCCTGCATCCGTGATGCTATCTGAAGATGCTTTGAGAAAATATGTAAACTTCAGCCCTCAACGGAAACGAGTGCTATGAGTGAAAATTTTTAACATATAAATTTTGCATTTCTTGTTCCAGAGGTGGAGTTCCTCTGGCTGGTGTTACCAATCCATGGTGAACAAGAGTACTACAAGTATTAAAAATATTTTACTGTAAGTTTATGGATTTGAGTTTTCAATGTAATTTATTTGATTTTCATTTATAAAACCACAACAGCACATGTGTTTTGAAAACATTTTATCAGTGTTCTTGGAGAAAACACTAGAGTCTATTTACAGAGATGAAATGTCACACCTTTATTTTTAATATTTGTTTAAAATAATAGATGTATTGCTCAACACCAATTTGTTGTGTTGTTATCACTTTCAAACCATGATATCATAAGCAATAATAACATTAAGTTACATTACATCTCTTAAACTGAGAATATTATATTAATTTTTATATGGACAATCTGTCTTTTTTTCCTCTAAGACTTGTACATGAATGTGGCATTGTTTTGTCTATGAAGATGTTTTATTGAAAAATTCTGAAGAGTGGTGCTTTAATGTCACACTCATGAAAATCAATTGTGAATTAGTGGTGTGATAATAAAATTGTTAATGTTTGTAACACTTGTGAAAATAAATTAAATTTATTTATTTTTATCATGTAAATGTTGGCACTAATAAATTAATATTAGTATATCTTGTATAAATTTAATGTTTTAAAAATATGCATTATCTAACATTTTAAGTTAATAAAATTATATTATATTAATTAATAATAATTTATAACTTAAATAATATTATTTTTTTCAAAAGATCAGATTTAATACTTTTTACAGTATCGTATAAACCTTTGTTGATATTTTTAAGAGATTTAATTAACGCACCATTAATGGCCATTACATTTAATACAAATTGAATAAATAATGCCTTCAGAATAAGTTGAAATCATTAAAAGTCATTGTGAGTTAGAAAGATTTTAATTTATTCATTAATGAGGTGGGTATCTCAAAAGTTTGGTCAGCATGTAATTCAGAAAGGAAGGAGATATTAATTTATATTGGGTGCAAAATTTAAGAATTAAATATTTAGAAAGCTTATACAAAACAATAAAGTAAACATATTTGCTAACAAGTCAATTAACAATTTTTAACATGACAATTCTTTGTCAAATAAGCCTGGGATCCGGTAGGATCCGGATCTTATGCCTTGCCCTCTCTCTTTTATAAGTAAACGATATTCCCTCGTCCATTAGAAACTGAAGAACAGTTTTCTGTGCCAATGCGCTATTGAAAATGCAATTGCAATTGCAATATGCAATTGAGAGAAATCAAGGGTAACAAAATATCTGTCTCTCTTTCAAATCAAATACAATATCCATATAAATAAATTTAACATTAAATTAAGTTCTTTGTGCTAGGCATTCAAATTTCATTCAAATTCAGTCTTCATAAAGCTTGATGCAATAATTTTGCAATTGTGCATTTGCGCCAGAGATATAGAATAATATTCTGAGGAAATAAATCATTTAGTACTCAGAATTAAAGATTGCAGAAAAATTGTAGGAATAATATGCAAATGCCACCACAATATTTCTGCAAGCTTCTCTTCACAGAACTTCAATGCGTCACTTTTTTTATTTGCTAATCTGTAGTTTTTGTCAATACTGACTTTTGAATATGGTAACATATTTTCATTCAACATTAATTCTTATACATCACACAGAATTAATATTATGCAGATGTCAGCATCAATAGTTCACTAAAAGAAATGTGCTTACAATAATGTACATTTCTTACAACTCATTGCCACATGACATTACACAATTAAAATTAGTACGCAAATTTAAATGCCATGTAAACTATTTTCTGCTGCATGACCGTTTCTACACAATTAGAAACTACTGAGAATCATAAAGGAAAATATTATTTAATTTAACTATGATATTTAATTTATTTATATTTTACACTTGTATATTAGTCCTGTATTTTATACGTGTATAAAAGACCAAATATATCTGTTACAAGAATTGCACTTCAACTTTTGGGTTTAAGACCCCCAGCCAAAGCGAAGAACCCAACCGGCGACCGCCCAGACAAAAGCCCAGGGTGCTCGGAGCCCCCCACCCCCCACCCATATCCCTAAAGTGATCGTCTTAGCACTTACGACGTCAGTATCGGCGGAAAACGGGGTAAACGAGCGGGGATTTCGATTTCGAGCTAGGACTTTGTAGGCGTCCTACTTTGTAGGACGATCTAGGCCACATCCCCAGTATTTACCTGCAGTCAGAGGCCCAACTGGGGCCCTAGTGGACGTTTCCAAACTTGAAATTCAAAATTGGAGACCTTGAAGGGTATATTTGAGTTGACAATAGTTTCATTGCGAGAAAATTGAAATTGATATTCCTGAAAGTATGAAACGTGAATCTACGAAAGCCCTGGAAGATTTACTACTCAGAAAATCTAAATACGAAATCTTCAGTGAGTAGAGGAAAGAAAGAAATATTTTAAGGAAGTATGTAAGAAAATTATATTTGACAGCGAAAGTAAGTACCAATTCTTAATGCAAGCGGGTAGAAATGTACACAAAAATATGTATTATATTTTGTTATTTTATGAGTAAATGTATTATTTCCATTAATTTATTAAGTATAAGTGGGTTTATATGTGTATTCCTCCATTTTCAATAAAGTAATTCTTTTGAGCGTCGTATTGTTCAGTTCCACGAAAGAAGTTTTGCTGTTATTCGTCGGGACCATTGATAACTATTTTATTACAGGGATGTAATAAAGAGCCATTCCACCGACTCCGCTCACGTAAGTAAACAGGCTACAAAAGCGATGAGGTAAGAGAAAACACATTAGAATATTGAAATCCTCTACTATTGCTAATTCACTTGCATTAAATTTAACTATTATTCTTACCAATTTCCTTCGACACCATTAATTTGCCCGGTCTTAGATCTAACATATTTTTTGATAGTTCAGTTACGATTTGAAATCGTCTAATATCTCTGGGAATTTTTATTCTTTTCATGTGGACTTGATAATTCACAGGTCTAGGTCTCGGTCGATAACTTTTACATTGGAGAATTTTGATTAAAACTTTTTATTCTTACCAAAATGAAAAACCTTATTCGATTTTTTAAACGCCGAAAAATGCTCTATTTTGCATTAATTCTTAGGTATTTGCTTCGGATGCTGCGCATCTAATAGCGTACAACGTGATAGAACGACAACAAAACTCTAATCACAAATAAAGTCACATTCACACAACACTAACAATTTAAACCTCTACATTCATTCGCCATACATGCGGATCTGTGTATTTACCATCTGACTGAAAAATAATGGCCAGTATTGGTTGAATTACTTTCCTGTCGTTGGTTTTTGCCGCCCTCCTGAACGACAAATAGTCCTGGTCGATGATCGCTGATGACTTTTACGTATTCAACATTAAATTCCATTACTAAATTCCAAAAATTATCAACATACCACAGAGCTCATCCTTATGCTGTACTGCATCGCTACCTTCTCAGTTCTTTTCTGTTGTGTCAGTAACAAAACCTCGAATGTCCACAGTTTTGGAAATCCGTTATAATAGTCTGTTCTTCCAATTTCTCTCAGCAATATTCGTTCATACATTTCTATTGACCATCGCCGCCTCTTCTGCTGAGTAACTGGTGTTCTGCGTCTACTACCGAGCTCTTGTGCCGCCTGCTATTTTGATCATTCTCTTGGAATTTAATTTGTATATCTTCATTTGGGTTTTCTTTAAGTTTAAGCCGAGATAGGTAATCAGACAATAAGTTCTGTTTCCCCTCGTAGTTCTCAATTTTAAATTGAACTACTCTAACCACAACAACCATCAAAGGTGTGGTTTCTCAATAAGAATACGAGAACCTTATTGCCCGCAATGATGATAAATTCCCTCTCAACTAATATCAGTTTTAATTTCTGCGTAGCCCATCCGATGTACACGACTTCCCGATCTGTAACGTTGTTCTGACGGCTTAGGTGTGCAGCTTTCGAGCTACTTTTTTCTATTGCACTTCCTTTGCAAAATCTCGCAAAATTATTGCAAAAACCGACCAGCTTGTCCAGTATTGTCATATGCAGCTGAAACGAGAGCAGACTCAAAAAAAAAAATGTCAAATGATGGAAGTGTCGGAAATGCGGATGCTGAGAAAAATTACAAATAAAACGATAAGGGATAAAGAACCTAATATTAATATAAGACAGACTTGCCAAATAGATATAATCTCAGTCTGGGTTCGAGAAAGAAGAAAGAAATGGAACGATCATATAGACAGAATGGAAGAAGGCAGACTGGTGAAAGTGACTAGAGATAGAAGACCGGAAGGAAGGAGAAGAGTAGGACGTCCAAGAACTAGGTGGAAAGACATTTTGTGAAACAAGGCAGCATGAATATAGTGCCAATTTATATGACTAAATAAATGTAATGTATCAGGGTTTTAAAAAAATTTAGTTAAGTATCCTTTGTAAAGAAACAGGCTCTAGCCTAAAATAAAAGTAAGAAGAAGAACAACAACAACAACAACGACGGCAACGACAACTTCTCGCACATTTATTCGACTCGGGAGGAGTTGTTCCCTCATCCGACCTTGAATACGCTTCTCGTCGCGCGGTCTTACGCGGACCGTGAACTCCACTTCTCGTTGGGCGAATTTACATTTTTCGATGGTCAGTTTTAGGTGGTTGCACTGAAATACTTCATTAATTTCACTTAATAATTCAATATATATCTCATCTAGTCGTCACTTGAATGAAAATAAAATCTTTTAAGAGGGCCGCTGTTAAACTTATACCTGAATAACATATACACACACATTTTATATATATCATCATCATCGACAGCAAGAATTAGACCTCTTGGTCTGTTCCGTCTCAAAATTGTTCATGCCATCTCTTCAAGGGACGTCCTACACTTCTTTTTCCTTTAGGTACTTATTGAAGAATAATTTTACTTATTCTATGTTCTGGCATTCTCTGGACATGACCTTTCCAGTTTTCTTGATATTTCTTTATGGTTTCTATAACAGGCTCAATATTTAGTTCTTCTCTGATATCTATACTTTTTTGTGGTCTAATAGTGAGTATCCTGCCACAAAACGAAGAAATCACATTTATGCAGATTCAATTCGGCGCAGCTGATCTGATGTTAATGTTCAGCTCTCACTTCCATAAAGTAGTAATGGCAAAGTAATAACTTTGTAAAATCTGAAAAGAGTTTCTTTTTGCGCATTATGATGTAGAGTTCGCTGTAACGTTCCACAGAAATATGTGAAGTTGTTCGGCTTTACTTCCATATCCCTTGATTTTATATAATTAAAATGATATCCAAGATATTTAAATTCATTAACTTGTTCAATTATTTGGTCATATATAACTATCTTTGCTCTTAAAGATTCAAGTCCTTTAAATGCCATCACTTTTGTTTTACTTGGTGATATTTTCATACATATTAGCAACCTGACTTAACTTGAGGACTGCTACTTAAATTTCATATTCAGATTTTCCTATGATAAGTATATATCTTGTTCATAAAATTTACAGCTAGTTTCGAAGACAGAAAATTGGGATTCCCCTCCTGACACCGCGCAGCGTTCGGCAAGCCTCCATCCACCTACAGGTTGCGTTACCGAAGGCCCTACGCATGTTGAAGTGTAGGGCCAAAGGGTAAATGCAGAAAAAGTAGTAATAGAAGCAAGAGCCAAGCGCGTGGTGCAATACCTGGGAGGACATCAGACGTCGGAGATAGCGTCAGTTGGGCGTTCTTTGATTTCAAAATGATTTCACATACATCGATATTGCTGCAATTTCCTGAATATCGAATGTCATTAAAACAAGCATGTGCTTTCCTAACATATTACAAAATATTTTTCTAAGAAATTACATAAACATCAGTTTGCTTTATTTTTTTTCTTCAAAAATTACAAAAAATTAATTTTTTTGACTTGTAGCTCACGTTAATATCTACATTAACGACGATTTTTTTCTTATTATTGTATTTATGAATACCTGTGCTCTAAATTATTTCATGAAAGTTTCTCGAAAACTCAACCGTTTTCTGTGACAACTAGCTATAAATTCCGCATTTTCAGAAACGCACAAACGCCATTTTTTGAAAAACGGCTTCAAATGTTTTCTCCAAACGTTTGAACGGATAGTGCCAATTGCTTAAGCTTCATTTTCTTAAAAACGGCACCAAAGTTTTCAAATAAAATTGCCATTTAGGATGAAGTTTTACTGTTCTATAATACTCTTAAAATAATAGTTCCTTTGTATTATCAGGAAACCGAAAAATTAAAAAAAATATCAAAAACTGTACAATGGGCGGCGATAGATGGTAGCTGGCAAGGGTATGTGACAAGTTCGTGTAGCTATCAGTGACCAAAGGAAATAGAAAATTGATATTGATTTATTTATTTACGTCAAAAACAGTTAATAACCGCGTGTGATGTGCGATGGGGAGAAGTTAATTTGAAGTTACATTCATGTCCAGAAGCAAAACAAAGAGCCATTTCAGCATTTGCTCAAGGATCAGGGAAACTGGACGAAAACCTGATCGAGATGGGGTCATTAACCCAGAAGCTGAAGTACAGGATACGGGAAAGATGCGTGAGTCTGTGCTATTCTGTACAACCACTAGTTAATTTTATTTAAACACTTTTTTTCTAAAAAGCGGTTCCATTGTTTTAGATTAAACGTCCACTTTCCCGTATACCTACGTATGTACGGTGTAATATACGTAGTGTAGGGAGATTTAAATAATGCTGTGTTTGCTATTAATGGCGCAGACTTTCCCGTATTAGTTTTATATTTCCTTCGGTCTCGGCTAGCTATTCGGACTTGCCACATATTCTTGCCAGATGCCATGTATCGCCGCTCAAAGTGCATTTTTTTGAAAATTTCTTATTTTTTCGGTTTCCTAATAGAACGAAAATATTGTTTTAGGAATATTTATGAACAGTAAAACCACGAATTTCGAATCCGAAGAAAGGGCATATGGACCCAGTTGTTACATATATTTGATTTTATTATATAGTATATCGTAGCATCATCGCTAAGGTCATGATAATATTTAATTCGAACAATTTTCAAAATGAAAAGTTCGTAACTCGATATGATAGATTAGTGCTTCGTTAAATCAAGTGTAAGAACTAGATGGGCGTGGAACCGGAAACATGAAAACGGACAGAAAGCAAACATCACGGTATAATAATAAACGTGGCAAGAAACACAAACCTGGACATCCGCTTAATATAACCAAAACTTTCTAACACTGAAAACGCCTACACTGGCCTACACGCTCACCGGAGCTTGCCAAGCAACACTTTCCCGCCAAACGTCATTGTGGACATCTCCAATGTCCATGAGTAAGCATATGCATGCCCTGCCCAGAGGCGATAGTGCTGCCCTCACCAGCCCAGGCACAGAGTGATACGATGTGAGCATTGGATGGCATTGGAGTAACCCCGTGTGTATTGTGTGTATTGAAAATCGTAACCTAAAAATTGTTCGAAGAATTGCTTTTGATTAGCCCTCGGTAGTTTCCAAGAATTTTTGTTACATTTCATTTTGTATATTGAGAACTGGTATGTACTATGTTGCATGAGGTTAATGGATAATCGTTAAGCTTTGATGCAATATATTCTTCCAATCAACCATGTGCCTTTTTGTTATTGAATATTCATTGAGTTAAACTTGTAAATGTCTGTATTGAACAAGAGCAAAATATGTGTTTCGAAGCAGCATTGCTTTAATAATTAATGTCTTTGTAGATTCATCGTAAATAAAAATGGTTAAGCTAACGAAACTGAAGAGAATGGAGAAAGCGAAAGTTAAACTAAAACAAAAAAAATTGATGAAAGCGCAGAATGTGACCAATGTTTCTTTCAAAGCTAAGAAAATTGTTTTACCTGGCCAGTTAAAATCGCCATCAGAACAAGAAATCCACACAAGAAAGAAGCTTAATGTTCAGGTATGTTACAACAGTTCATTAAGTAAATATAAAATAAAGTATAAAAGTAAGTTAGTAAATTCCATCATTAATTGTACTTATATTGTTCTGTTACAGGAACTTCTGTCTCATCTGCGACATTATAATGTGTCTATGCGCAGTGAGGGTTTGTCAGGTTTTCAAGAATTGTTAGCAATGTATGAAGAAGATGTTATAAAATTACATCTTCCTAAAGTAATTGATGGTGTAGCAAGCTTGGTGCTTGATATTGAAAGAGGTGTTCGGAAATCTGCTGTCAAAATGATTGAAACATTATTAGCTAAAGTAAGTGACCCCGTTGAAGTAATATAGTATTCAACAATTGTGAAACAACCAGAGATAAACAAGTATGTGCAAATATTATTGTTTCAGGTTTCAACAGAACAAATAGCACCACATTTTGATGTTTTACGGACATATATGTCATGTGCAATGACTCACATTAATGCATCTATTCGAGAAGATTCTCTTTTGCTTATGGATTGTCTTCTTAACAAGTGCCCTGTTTTAATGGTTAAGAATGCAAATGACATTTTACCAAATTTCCTCAATATGATTTCCAACTTGAAGAATAGTTCTGATCATGGAAGAACTCTTTCCCTTCATTTGAATAACAAGTTAATAAGTGTCAAGTGGAGAATGAGTGTATTTGCGAGGTTAACAAAGTACTTTGCTGCTATTGTTGCTGTAAAGAAACATGGTTTTGTAGATGGTGTTCAAATGAATGTAGATGAAGTGTCAGGAATTGATACAAAATCTGTAAATTGGAGTGAAGAATCCCCATTGTATGTTGGTGATTTCATTTCATTAAAAAGGGAGATTTGTAATTTACCCCGAGTGTTTTCAAAGACCACAGTAGTCACAGAAGTTAGTGGTGCTAGTACTGCAAATCAGGAAAGAACACTGAAAGAGCATATAATGAGCCTAATGCCAGTGTTATTTGAATCATGGATTGAAGTTGCTCCACAACGTGATTCCGCTGAAGGTGCATAATTTTTAACTTAAACAATAAGTTCAGTATGTATTTCAGTAAGATTATCTTCTAATATGTTTTGCTTTTTAGTTGGTTGCCTTCCTGAAGAAGCAGCAATTATGTTACAATATGTTGTTAACACCCTTCTGCATGTTTGGGAGTCGATACAAAATTGGGAGCAAGAAAGTAATATTGACAATTTGGTAAGATTTTAATTAGCAATTTTAAATAGGTTACTCATAGTTCTGAAAAATTAAACAGTATCAGTGAGAACAAGATATTTACAATGTTACAAATTAATAATTGCATTTGATTTCTTTTCTTTCAAAAGTAGCCATTGATTTCTGTCTTCATTGTGCACAATTCATTTGATTCTGACATAAGATACTTTAAAACGGTTCACACACTCACAGGAAAATGTCTAAAACATGAATGATTACTTATACAGTGAAACCTCTAAACAAGACCACCTCTTTAAGAAGGCCACCCCTTTTTGTTACCAGTTTTCTGTGAAATGGAATTCTTATTCCATAAGACGAATGTATGTAAACCCACTTCAAGATGGCAACCCTTATTCCCGACCAACGACCATGAATTTTTGTTATTGTGTAACATCGCATTCCCTATAAGACGACCAGAATAAACTTGCATTGAAATAATAATCCTCAGCTTTCATGTTCTACTGTAAGATAAGTCATTTCTGGTGTCTTTCAGATAAGCAACAGCGATCAGGCACAGGAAATCTCACGTTAACTCTGAAGGAGAGACCTTTCAGGAAATGTAGAGAAACTATGGGATTGTAAAGTTGAAAAATAATTTTACTGAAGCAAAATAATATCTCAGAATTACAATAATCAGGAGACCACCTCATTACCTGAGGAAGGACAATTTCTAAAGTACACTGTACTATTCTTTTCTATAGTCATATTAATTAATAAATACACTTGATCAAAGTAATTTAATGATGCAATACATTTAAAGCTTTTATTTAAAAACTATAGTGGTACAATACCTAATGTAGTAGTTGCAACAGTAGCGGTGAGGTACAGTTTAATAGTGCGATGTTCCCTTTAAAACGACACCCCTTTTTATGACCAATTTAAGGTATTAATCACATGGTTGGCATAAATAAGTTTCACTGTAGTTATTTTTGAAAAGAATGTATTCAGCACAAAGTGATTGTTATAGTTAGAAAAATAGTAATGCTGAAGGATTTTACTTGAACAATAACATATTAGGTTTAAGCTGAGAGTTGAAAAGCTATAGTAATTCTGTCCAAGCTGTTCTAATGTCATTTCACTGCATGAAAAGTAATTTAGATACATAGTTGGTATTCATAGACAATAATACTTACAGCTTTCTAGATTTTATTTTTAATGTAACATGACTTTGTTTCAGACTCCATGGTTTATTAAATTTTACCGAAAGACAATTTACAAAGCATTCTTACCTGGTTTTCCTTTTACCTTGCAAGAAAACATTTTCAAACCTAAAATTGTGTCGAATGAAAGTAGAAAAGTCCTCAAAGAAGAGCAGTCTTTATTGCAAAATACTTCCTCAGTTCATCCGAAGTGTATTCATCAGAATTTGTCTCTTTGTCACCTTCTTGTTAGTATTGATGATGGAAAAGATCAGACCGTTGTCAAACCTGTGCTTTCATATTTGCAGTGTAAGTATATAATCTTTTAATTATATTTTGTATAATTAATTTCATCATTTATTCCCAGACTTTTTTTTTAGAGAATATTAGCAGCATTTAACTTCTGTTCTTGCGTTAAATATGTTGTAAGGTATTTTATAAATCTTATGGGTGTTTTGGAACTGTAATGTATGAAGTCAGCGGAAAAAATTACAGACCTCGTTTGGAAGCAGTTTTTTTGGAGAAGTAATAGAAAGTTTTAAATTATTTTTTCCCTTTCATGTGTAATTTTCGTACTACAACAAAATTTTACAGGAGGGCAATTTGAAAGTTTCAAGGTCTCATTCTGTCTTATTCGGTCTTATAATGGCTTGCAAAATGCAGTGTCATTTTGCTCATTAAGGTTTCTGCGATATTCTGTATTTGCCAGTGTATGACACACCAACATTTTCAAGAAGGATTTCATTCTGTATTGTTAAATTGTATACTTGATAATTATTTTGGTAAAAGGAATGGGAATCTGATTTTGGTAAGGAGTATTGTTTTAAAATACAATAAACATGTATTAGTATATCTAAATCAGTGATTTAAAAAGATTGATTACTACATGAAAAAGATCAATATAATTGGTACATAACAGTAGCTTCTAGTTTTTAAGATACAACAATCCTAGAATTAACTGAAATAGTAAATTCTTTCTTATTACGAATTTTTATATATTATTACTTTAATAATACTACAATACCCATCTGTCCTGGTCAGTCACTGTCACTTCTCATCTTCAATTCTATCCAAAGAATTGCTGATGCCACAGTTCTTCAAAGAATTCACAACAGTTTTGGGGTCAGCATTGTTCCAGAAAGTTGTGGCCCATTCAGGACTGACAATTCAGATTTTCCTCTTGTGTCATTTCTTGCCCTGGCAACATTATCCATTCCTTGTGCATATATTGTTTGAAATGCTTATTTGTACATATATCGAGTGATTGCAATTGACAGAAGTCCTGCTGGAATAACTGCAACTTCAGTTTTCAATTAATGTTTTTTGATGAAATAGGTCAAAGTGTTGGTTTTTTTTCATGTCAAGTAGTTAATAAAAACAGTGTTGATGCCTTTCTAGTTTATAGTTCTAATTTCTGGAACATCAAATGTAAGTGGAACTTCATGTATGTTTGCAATCAGCTGCATTTCAAAAGGTGACCTTTAACTTGCTTGAATATTGTACCGTTAAAAGCAATGATCTTCTCTTTATATCCTGCAAGAAGTCTTTGAGATCTAGTTATAGTACACATAGAGAGTGCCTTTTCATAAACCTTCTACACTAGGGGTGTCCAACTTACAAGGCCTCAAGGCTCACATCTAAAATCTTCAATGTGGTTGCAGACCGTATTTACAGTACTTGCGCGATCCCCACCTGAATTCCCCATATTGTTGATCTCAGCACATTGCCCGGCTGCTCGGAAACAGGAGGGCATGATATCAGACCGTACCATGCGTACACCGGGTAACACATGGAGATGATATTGAATTTCTGAATTCAATAGAAAAATGTCTTAATTGTAAACTATGAATGTTCTTGCCCGTCATGGATACAAGGGCCTTTTACTTTTGTCTAATAACTTTTTGCAAGCCACAATAAATGGCACTGCAGGCCGCCAGTTGGACAACCTTATTTGGAAAACAAAGAAAATCGGCACTACACTATTCCACCAAGTCACTTGCATTACATTTGTGAAGATGAAGAAAGAGTTACTTCAGACAGATGGATACCTTAATTTATGGTTAATTCATTGTCAGCAGTTAAAATTGTGCTCTGTGATATTGAATTTTGATATTTGAGGAATTCTTCCAGCCCACATTTAGGCAGTTGGATGGGATTATGACAGTAACAGTGTGCATTACAGTAATTTGGTTTTTGCAATGTTATGTACTAAACATTAATACAGTTACAATAAATTTCCATCCATTCTATAAGATATAATTATATTCTATCATGTTTTTTTGGCAAGTTACTGAAGGAAAGAATGTTATGCACAGGCAAAAATGTCAGGTAGAATCTTGTTATTCAAAGGCCACAACATGAACATTTCTTAAGTTTAAAACTAAATGAATTAATTTGCATAGATCTTGGTCTGAAGAATTGTGGTATTTTTCGTTACCTGATTGCAGTTTCTATGGAATAATTGTATTGAACCATTTAATATTGAGTACTTCATAATTGTAATATTGGATGTTCATTTGTTCTCTAGACAGCTGTCTAACTTCTGTTATTTTAAGACATATGTCTGAGTTATGTATTCTGTGTATTGTATCTGTATTGATACAGATTGTTGATAATACTTGTCTTTGTATTAGCTTGCATTATGGAATGGGAAGATATGACATTTTTTCCTGGTTTGGAGCAAGTGCTGAGAACATTGATAATAAATGAGAAAACATCATGGCCAAAGAAGGAGGTTCTCCAAGCAGTAGTTATGAAGTGCCAGGATCGATCAGCCCCAAGGAATCTTTATGAAAATTTGTTTTCTTTGCTATGTGATTATGTTCTTCAACCAAGATATCATAAAGAACTTGGGTTTGTATTTGTACTACATTTAAAATACTCTCAGAGTCAGCTGATTAGATAGAATTTAATTTTTAATTTAATTAGATAGTATTTTTTAAAAAAGAAATTATATCCCAAATGTATTTACTTTTACAGATGCAAAGAGTTTGTGAAGTGGTTTTCAGAATTACCATATCAATTTTTTCAAGCAGAAGTGAACTTGAAAACTGTTAAAGCCTTATCTTCACTAGCATGTCAGAATCATGAAGTATTCATGAATAGTTTAAAGAAGCGAGCCAAGGCTATTGTTAGTGAGTATTTTTATTATAATTTTTAAATGTTTTATTGTTTTAGAGAAAATTGTGTGCAATACCCTAGGGATTCTTTGTTTTCTTTGGAAATATTCTCTAATGCATGAGATTCAGTTAAATCTTGCCATGACTAAATTATTAGTGAGTACATGGGAAGGGTGCCTGGAAAGTTAAGTGAATATTGCAAAACTACAGAACCTCATTGTAAGAGAACACTTGTAAGACACAAGGGGGAATCCAAGTCCATAGGGAGCCTAAATTATTGAAATATTATATTCTTCCCTCTTGATAGAGCCTCACTTATAAGAGTTTTCCACATACAATAGAATATTGGTTCCAGAGATAATATTTTCTTTCCCACATATAAATCTGAGGTCAATATTAATTTTCCCACATTGTCAGCTTGTGGCTCTTTAGATTTACTCTCAACCACTTTTTACAAAGGCTGGGCAAGAAAGCATGGCTGAGGAAATCCTCTTCCAGAAATAACCTCTCTCATCCGTGAAAGGTGGAAAATCTATTCTCACTTTTTATTTGTATTGGTTTTCTGGAATATGTTACGGTATGTCGTCTCTGTCAATCATCTTGTACACTGGATTGTGACATCTTCATTGCTCAAGTCTTAAAAAGATAATTTAACTTTCAATTTTGATGGCTTCAAGTCGGTGTCAATATGGGGGGGGGGGGGGACTTCCCCTCATACATAATCTGGAAAACAATAAAAATGGAGGATATCCTTCAGGTGAAAATAATCCCTCGTAGGAGGGGACAGGGGACAGTTGCCCTCAGTATTTTTAGCTTTTTCACCCGTAAAGCATTAATAAAAATGCTAAACATATTTTAACTTTTGTATTACTCTTGATTTATTACAAATATGTAGAAATATATAAAAACAAAACTTTGACCTTCAGTTATGTCTATGGATATCATGAACTTGCGTTAGCATTTCCCATGTGTAATAGGTCCTGAGACAAAAATTTCTGATCTGAAATATCTCTTATAATGGGGTCCTGCTGAGACAGAATGCACTTTAGAATAACCTTTTGGCTTCTGAAGAACATAGATACTGTGATTTATCACTCTAGGAGATTTTGAAAAGACACAAATCTTTTATTAAGTCTAGGTTAAAGGATTTTACCCCAGAATTTGAATTGGTATAATCTCCTTGGTGAAAGTAAATGTTTTAAAGCATAGTTTGGTATATGCTTTAAAAATGTTTTTAATGACAAAAATTTTGTATCGCAAAGTGGAACCTATATTACTTAAATCTCATGTTTTTCTTCTGAATGCTTTATTATTTACTTAAAACTCATTATGTACTTTGGAAAAATTGCACTCTCGTTTTTTTTTTTACTAAATTTTTCATTTTATCACTAGTTCAGATTTCATTGCTCTTTCATTAAAGATATTCTGAACAATGTCCAAAGGTCATTAATAACAAAGTTAGAAGCAGTCACCACACCATTTTTTCTACATCTTTTCATTACCCTCTTAATATAATCTCCTGTGAAAGTAGATAAATGCCATAAAATGCCCTTTGCAACCATAGAATTACTAATTATATAATTTTTTTTGTTTTTGTCCCCCAGATTCTCTATGTGAAATTCCTGTGGTGGGGAATTCCATTCCATTTGAAGGACAAAAACTGATTCTTAACACATTGTTTCATGTGGCTGATTCAGACACTTTCAATGGATTGTTGAAAAGAATTGGTGATTTACAGGACTACCAAGAGTTAGCATCTTATGTAAAAGACATGAAAGCATTATACGAATTTGTAAATTTGTAGAATTCGAGGAGCAAATTTATTGAATGTTGTTACATGTTTAATATTTTAAACCAAACAAAGTTTCTTAACTGAATTTGCAATAAATTGAAATATACATGTATTTATTTGGTTATAATTACTGGTTTTTCAAGTACCCTTGTTATACCTTCCGTAGAAATTAATCGATGGATTGCGATTATTTTGGGCTATAACTTAACCCAATTCGAAAGGTGTGCAAATTTCACCAGCCGGAACTGAAGCTTAAATGCCACATTCTCGAAGAAGTCGATAGTAGACATCATTTATAAGTATCGACTTTGTAAACAAACATGGCCGTTGTGCGCTGATCTGCCAGTCGAATTCATGGAGTTCGTTGGTTCACCGTAGATGGCAGCTTAAACTTTTGCTTTAGAACCAAACGTCGAAGGTGAAGAACCTCTGCCATTTTGCAATGAGGTGTAATATTTAAATGTGTTGAAAGTGGTCCGCATGCACTTCATTCACATGTGAACGTACTTGACAAGATAACCTCGAAATAAATGATAGGACTTGCACCCAACTAGAGGCTGAGTATGTCTTGAGAATGGGACAAGCCGGGAGTGCGCTGGGACATAATAGTGAGTGAATTTCTTCATATATATTTTTAAATGTTGATTTATGGTTTTATCATCGTACAAAACTGAAGTTGAGGGGTAGAACTGAGATTTGTCTTCCCTCACAGACAATGAGTTTGGTCTGGGATAAAGAATGTTTTATGACAGTTTTAAGAAATGTTATTTACCTCAAAAAACTTAAGGCATAGCAAAGGAAGTAATATTTTCTGTCAAATGATGCTGTAGAGCAAAAGAACTTAATTCATGAAATGGTGAAAAGGTAAAAGTCAATTTTTTAAGATATTTGAAATGTTTGAAAAGAAACTGCTTTCGATTGAGGGAGGTCACTGACAGAGTTGAATAAGGTAGTAATTGATTGGCATATGTGTCTTTGTTAATGTATCTTGCCTGGTTTATAAATAAAATGTTCAGATTTTTCTTAACACTTTATTTAGGAGTACTAGATATAAAGAATAATGTTAGTAAATTCTTTTGAAATCAATTCATTTATTATTTTCAAACTCATTGTTCTTGTGAGGTGTTATTACCAGTGTTTTCATCATGTGTAGTCACATCAGGTATTTCTTTTATAATCTGTTATTTCTTGAGAATAAAATCGATGAAGAAGCATTAATTACATGTCATGTGGAATGTTTTGTGAATGAACATTTCATAATTAATGTAAAATTTCCAAAATCTTCAATTTCTATGTTCCTAATATGTGATACAATAGACAAATGAGTCTAATTTGGCTAGCTCCCATAATGTTGCCCCAAATGTAGCGGGTCTATTTTGTGTAGGATCGAAACTTGAGACCAGTCATCTTCGAATAAATTAAAACCCAGATGATATTTCGCTTTAAAACGTGAATTATCACGCATTGCCACAGGAAACCATCGTATACGACGAGCAACAGGTTAGCGTGATGTACATTTTGTGACATTCGTGTTTTCTCATAACCTACATTACGTAAGATTGCTCGAGGGTTTTAGGTTTTGCGAGATAGTTAACATTTGGTTGAAGAACAATTTTATCACCCGCGGCCCAACAGTGTGTGCAACAACCTTAATGGGAATTGCAAATTTTAGGAAGTGTTTTGATAACATGACCAAAAGATTGCCGTTTTCACATTCGTGTACCAAAAATTATGCTTCACTTGTTAGGTTCGTTTTGTTCAAAAGCCCCGCGTAAATAAAAGTGTAATATAACTGATATCATTAATGAGGCTCTGAATTTGTTTATCACAAAAGTATCATGTCGAATGCCAGTTATATAATTGTCATAAATGGTATGATTATTTAGTGCACATCACTAATGACTCTGTCTGTAAATCAGACATCAAAAACTAAAACTACTACATTTAAAGAAGATAGCGGTCGACCATAAATTACGTAACGCTGGAATAGGGAGGGAGTTTGACGCTGTGGGGTAGCGGGTGTTATGTAGTTCCATATTTCTGTTTAAATTTTTCAACTTTTAGTGAAATAGACCCTGTTTTCAGTGTTATGCTAAACATTAAAAAATTCGCTTTAAAAAATTATAAATTAAGGTTGTTAAAATAGTTGCAGTACATGGAAATATTTTTTCATTAATGTTTCGATTGAATCTATAAGATTTCGAAGAAAATACTCAAAACTGATCTATATCCTACAGTCCATATTAATTGGCGGGTGACGCAGTAGACTCTTTCGCCCGTGCGCCATCCACGACCTGTGCATGGCTTTGGAAATTTTCGTCTACTCGTTTGACCTTCACTAAAAAAATTCCGCAATCATAGGGTTGGGTGTAGTCAGCATTTCCAACTTATTCTGACTGTAATTATCATAAATTTTAGTATATAACGCAAATAAAATAAATGCAAATTGTTTTAACTGTGATATAATTAATTTTTACTTCTTGAAAAAAGGGAGGGTTGAAGCGTGCGATACAGGGGGGAGAGGTGTATTCAAAATAATACAAATTTGAGTTACGTAATTTATGGACGGACCCTTAGTATATTGAAGATTCGTCAAAATCTTGCCGAAAATATGTAGACGTACAAAAGTGTCTTACACAGAGTGTTTTTACATTTTCTTCAAAGCGCCTTGCAATTCCGCTGTGTTTCACTGTGCTTGTTTATTTAACGCCAAAAAGATTTACGTAACTGTGTGACGTACTAGGGAGAGATGAGTATTCTGTGCACGTTTTCTTAAATTCTGTGATCCCTACCCCAACCCATATACAAAATGAATTTTGAATACTGGTGGAAATCAGCCTTTTTGGCAAGAATTAATAAGAAACATTCGTTCCAAGGTAAAATAACAATTTTTAAAGGCAAATCAGGGGTATATTTTTGCTTTTATCCCTCATCGTGCCCTTCGTGAAGGAATCTACTCAACCTAAGAACATGAAGATTTTGATTGACCATATTACTCTATAATTGTATAAGAGGTGCACAGATAATGAAGTTACATTTACGTCCAGAAGCAAAACAAGCGGCTATCTGAGCATTTGCTCGAAGGATCAGGAAACCTGGCCGAGATGGGGTTCATTGACCCAGAAGCTGAGGTACAATATTTGTTACAAGTTGTTTAGAATTATACAGTTCAAATGGTAATTAATACATTCAATATCATAGTTAAAATTAATATTACTTTCCCTTTTGATGCTCGGTGTAGTCTCTAATTGCATACAAACGATATTTTTACGTCCACTGCAAATGCTTCATACAAAAAATATCGGTTATAAAAAGGTAAAGGATTTTACTTTAGTTTTCAAATTTCTTGTTCATCTAATTTGCCATTATTCGTTGAAACCTTCAATAAGAAAAACGTTATTTTACTAAGTGAATACCAAAATATGTCACTGAACGGGGGTGACGTTTCCGATGTTGGATTCCAGGGGGTGATGTCTAATGACACTGCTATTCCCGAAGAATACACTTGCGGAATAAATGAAAGAATTCGTTGATAATTATGTAAATTATTAATATTATTTTCCAAAATCTAATTTTGCTTGAAGGCAAGGTAGAATCGAGACTTATTTGTTCAGAGCAAATTTCTGAATCCGCTCCCATCATTTCTAAATCATGATATACGCGCACGTTTTCTTGACAACCAGAATCCCTACCCCTGATTTTTACCACACTCTTAATTTAGGAATAAAAGATTTCAACGAGTGTTGTTGACATTTGATAATACATTTTGTTCTCCAGTAATAGAATAAAATCCAAAGTGAGCTAAAGATTTACTTTTGTTGTACTGGCGTCGAAATAACTTAACTCCCCACTCTTGTAGCAATCTGAGAACTCTTGAAAACGTGCGAGGATGTTTAGTTGAACCCAATCCGTTTTCATTGATTTATGAAAGTCAGTGCGCTTACAAATGGAAGTCATCACTCTATTACAGTTTTTGCGGTTTTATTATTGAGGTAGTTTACATTACTGGTACAATAAATCAATATAGCAATAATGTATCAGAATTTTAGAGTACAAAAGTGCATCGCGAGGAAATGAAGCCTGTGTGTGAACTTGATGCCATAACATGCATGAAATATCTAGATAATTAGTATGAATTTTGTTTTTTAGTTAAAACAATAATTAAGAAATAACAAAGAATAACAAATAAATTACAAAGTGAAATGTGTAAAGATGGTGGGAACATAATATCTTATTAACAACAGTTGCACAAAATTTACAAAACAGTATTTGTATGTACAAAAGAAAGTCGGGGTAATTACATTTGTTTCTCAAGAACGGCTGGACGGATTTAAATTATCTCTGATTTGTTAAATTCATCTCCCCCCCCCCCGATTAGCAGAATAACTATTAAAATATAGTAAAAATTCACTAGATGGCGCTGTAGAATAAAACTAAATAGTCATGTCAAAGGCAACCCTCAACACACTCTGCAGGATTTTTTGACGTTCAGGAAATTGATCCAGTTAGTATTTTTGACTTTCTCGCTTCCGCTTCTTTGGTAGACAGAAGTTATGTAATGCTGCGTCAAAAATACCGGCGAAATTTCAGCAGAAGAACTGTACTGGAGGGCCCTGACAACGAAAAAGTGTATAAATCCAGATGCTAAGTTAAGAAATGAATCCTCATACACATGGTGTAGCCAGAATCCATGTTTTGTAGGTCCTTGATACCAAAAAATGTCGCTAATGTCCTGGCCCTTTACTTTGAAACCGATATTTTAATTTTTGGGCAATTAATTTAAACATGGGCAATTTATATTTTCTTTAAAGCACTTTTCTTTAAAAACGGCACACAATTGTTGATTAAATTTAGACCTTAGAGACCGTACAGGAAGTTTAAGACAATTCATTGGTGCAGGTTTCATGTTCGTTAAAATGCATGATTTTGTCGAAAATAAAAACAAAAAAACTAGGTTTCTTCGTACAACTACAGTTGTGAAGATGCGTTTAATAGAAATGAAATGTGTTAATTAAAAACAGATCTTCAAATAAGGCCATGTTGAATTTTCTGAATATACGAGTATTTTTGTGTATTTTGGCGACAAACAATCACCCGCTCCGAATTTACTACGCTGTGCGAACGTAATACAAAGCAGTTGGATGCTTCGCAAGTTAGAATTTTTTTCTTCATATTTCTTCGTTTCTTACATTCAATCTTTTGTTATACATTTACACATTAATCTTTTAGAAATTATTTAGGACCTATTTGAAATATGTGCAATAAAAATTGCTAGTCTTTAGGAAATATCAGGTTTGAATCCAATGGCATATGGCATTCCGTGCCGCGAATCGGCAGCAGAATTTCTGTTCATTACATCTCATTGTTGGGACATGATGTAGCTGTATGAAAAGCAGTTATAACTGTCAAATTGGTATTGATATTTGTTTGAAAATCTTTAGTTTTTTACCAAATGTTGTAAGATTTGAAATGAGTTTTGCAAAAATTACGACTGTGATGTGTTAATTCGGAAATCGTGATAAGAATATTACATAACTATTACTGGACGCAAGAAAGAACATGCTGTTTTAGCACCACTGTTTTTTTATTATTTCATTATCTACATTTATCAACCATTTCGTGATATCTTTCTTTGCTATTGGGGTATTAATATTTATATTTTTTTTCTTGTGGAAAAAGGTGGTTAAAGATCTTATATACTATGTAATTGTGACTCTACTAATGTTTTTCTTAACAATAGGTGGAAAAATGATGGTCGTGTGCTTATTCATTAAATTTTTAAAGATATTTTGTTAGGAGAATTTATAAACGACGAGTAAGAGATCTTGACGAGTAATTTTTGTAAGTAGCATTTTCTGATGGATATTATATTTTCCTTGAATGGTATACCCGAGATATTGATTTTCTCTTCTCTGAATATTATTTTAACAATTTTCTTTTGAATACTACTAATTTAACTGAATACATTTTCACAGGCACCTCCCCAGGCTTAAATGCCGAGTAAATCATCAATAAATTATCAGTTTTGAATATCTTTGTTAGCTTAAAAAATATAAATATGTTTGCTTTACTAGCAACTTACTGCCAATGTAAGATATACGCTGAGCCCTCTTCAACGAATAATCTATATGGAAACCTAAATATTTAGTAGATGATACTCTTTTAATCTGAGGACAATCACAATTGTTGATACTGACACGTACAACTGACACATAAACATCGT